TAAATACATACTTTATAGAATAATACGGTAACTTTCATGGGTACACATTATTATTTGCTAAATAAAGTAGTTACTTTTATATTCACAATATTATTTAAATTATATTATTAAATGTATGTCAATAATGCCTTCAATAATGCAGTAATTCCTTTTTGTAAAAGCTAACATTTCATTTAATGGATTAATCCTGAATCCAGGTATATTCGAACCAAAAATCCCCAAATGAATTTAATCTGATTTTTCCAAAACCCGAAATTCTGTAAATTAATCGTTAACACCTTAGATCGCAAAATCCATTTCTTGCGCTGATTTCAATGATATAAGAAAAATATTAATTTTTTTTTCTTTAATTAATTAACCAAATTTCTTTATATATCTTATATATAAAAATGGAGCTCTCTTTCAAATGTCCGAATAAAACTCGAAAACGGCTGAATCGATTTGGCCAGTCTTAGTCTTGAAAAATTCGTGCCAATCCAGAGAAAGTCCAAAAGGTGAGAAATTGTTTCAAATCTGCGTACAAACTTTACATTTTTAATTTGAAAATTTTTGTAGAAGCGTAATTTAAATAAAACAATGGACGGTGGCAATTTCGTGAAATGTCAAACGCTTTTGACAGATGATGTTCAATTACGTTTAATAGGATGTTTTACGCGAATATTATTTATTTATGATAAATTTGTAGTAAGTAGTTTTGTTTGTAGTTTTATTTATATATAAAAACGTTAGTAAACGGACCGCAAGTATTACTAGAAACTCAAAATATCAACTTTTTTTAACTGTTAATATGAAAATGCACTTTTTGGCATATTTTTCTCAAACACGATGCTCTGAAAGATCTCTTTTGTATAATTATATACTTATTGGTATTTATAAAACATTTTCTATGTTATATTATTTTTTATTCATGTTATTTAAATTCAGAACCTAAATTTGGTATCGATCAAATGGACATTTTGTCGAATAACATTTTTCCAGTTATAACTGCCCAGAATTTATCGCAGAATAGATAGTAATATATGAAGGTCCGGGATTAGAAAGGTCCACCACCGATGTGCCAAAAATCAGTAAAGTTGAGCATTGTTTAAGCATTGTTGTTAGGAATTGAAAAGTAGAGGGCAAAAGATGTATAACCAGCTATAACCTTGATTCTTATGACTTTGCTATCTGGAGATAAACTATAATCTTTGAAAATCCAAAATAAAAGTATTTTCTTCCGTTGGTAGTTTTTTAGCATTAGTTAAAAGTGTAATCATTCTGTAAAATACCTTTAAAATTAAAATAAGACATTAAACCTCTTTGTCACCTGGCCGTTCCAAGTTCCCCTGTCTATGGGGTAAAAAGGTCTAGATAACAAATTTTTGAGAGACAGCAAAAAAGCACATTTCTACAATGACGAAGTAGCTGACAGTTTTACTGAACGTAGTCAGATAATTGTTCGTTTGAAATGTGTTATTTGTTTTGACATAATTGGTTTGCTTTTCATAATATAGTTTATATTTGCTCAAAGTCAAATTGGACCTTCGTGCCTCGCCCTGCTCTACATATATACTTTTTATTAAATTTACTTTAATTCATCGAATGTTGTTGAAACTTTTCAAAAAGCAGGTCAAAGAAGAGATACCTAATTCATCTCCCCTCGCAGAAATTTGAAAAATGTGTATAAGCTCAATAGTATTATTTACAATTATACATAAAATCCTGAATCAAAAAAGAATCTGAAAAACTTGAAACGAATTCAATAAGTCGAAAGACCAAAAATGACTTGGATTGGATTGTACCATGTTTTCTATAGAAAGTGTATAAAACTTCCAGTTTGATTGTGTTGATAAAATATAGACAAACTAATGGTGTTCATAGCATTCAAACAACACATCCTTATACACTTAAAGTATTAATATTTTTGATTCTCTAGAAATTGTTTAGAATATACCTTACTTAGCAAAACAACGTTTGCCGGGTCAGCTAGTTATAAATAAAATCTTAGAAATGAATATAGTAAGAACGGCAATGCGATGTGTTATCTATTAAAAAACTTTTTATATACTACAAAAAATTGATTATACTGGGGAAATGCATACATAAAGTTTTCCACATTTTATTCATATGAATAAAAAATTGATTTTTAATTCGTGTTTTTTTCCTTCAAAAATAAATATAATATTGAATTTGTTTTAAAAGTTGTCCGTTTTTAATTGCACCTCAAAAAATATGAGTCATTGGTTTGGAATTTAATTTCACTTATGAAATTCACATTGCACGACCCTTTCTCGTATCTGCATTATTGTAAATGTAGACGTATATACGTCCAAGATTAAAGGCCATGTTTCAGGTTAAAATTAGGTTCTAATATAATATAAATCGTGAATAATTTGTTATAACGGCTATTGGTCTACGTTTGAACAATATTTTGAGCTATATATTTGAGACAAAATCCACTCCAAATTCATCTGTTGCAAATGTACAACATTAATTTAATATCAATAAGTTTAATATGATTTTTATATAAAAAATAAATAAAATGAAAACGATCTAAAATTTGCAATAAAAGTCGATTTTATCTCATTTCACGTTCAAAAATGTTCAAGAAATATGAATGAAATTTTGTTCGATCGCCCGAGACACCGAAAATTTTTACAACTGGACATTTATTGGTCATTTGGTCATAAATTGCTCGGTCGCCTGGTTGCCTAGTGGATGGGTAGCATAAACAATAATAACCTCCGGACATTTTCTACGAGTGAGCCCACATACTTGCCAAGTAATTTGAACAAAGTTCCAGACCTCGAAATTTTTCGTAGTCAAAAATATTTAAAACGAGTGTATAGAAATAAAATCTCAGTTGTGATCAATCGCCAGTAATTCTTAAATAAGAGACTGGGCTGAAAAGTTTCTTATCTCAACACTAAAAAGGGGCTACTCAAATACGCAAATAAAAGATAAATTGAATTCTGTGTATGTGAATTTTGCACAAATATAAGTAGATATAAATACAATTAAAAATAAAAACTAGTGTGGCGCATGGCATCGTGCCTTAAGGCAAATTGCTGGAACTTTCGTAAATATTCGAGGAATGAAAATAATCAATAATTGTTTTAAATAATTTCAAATAGATTATTTATTATAAATACATACTCTAAATTTATAAGTGCTTATTAGGCGACGAGCGTATTCTACAAACAATTTATGTGTATGCTTACAAGAAATTTCTTTAATTTTTTTTTTAATTTGATTTTTTTGATAATTTTGAAATTAAAAAAAAATCGATTTTTTTTATTAATTTTTGGAGAATTTGGAATTTTTTGAAAATGACCGTTTTTTTTGAAAATTTTGAAATATTCTCAATTTTTTTCAATTTTGATGTTTTTCCAATTTTTTGTAATTTAGATATTCATTTCAATTTGATGAAAAATCTCAAATATTTGAGTTTTCTGAAAATTTATTTTTTTTTTTTAAATTTTGAATTTTTTATTTTGAAAATTTTGAATTTTTTTTTTGAAAATTTACAAAAAAAGAAATTTTTTGTAAATCCTTTTTTTTTTGCACACCGTATACACAAGCAAAAGGTTTTTTGAATTAATTTAATCGGATGATCCGTTCTCTCAAAAACTGCATGACCATTTTTGCAATCGAGCAATCGCGATCGAGTACCCAATGTTTGTTCAATAATATAAATCGATTAGTTCATACTGTCGCAAATGTCAAAGACATTTGTTTGAACCATATACATAAACTTCAAAATTTAAAATCTTGGTACGGAACCAAAAAAAATTGACATAAAATGTGTGCACATTATTAAAATATTTATAAAATATCTTATAATTTGATGTGCATATGTCTAGTGAACATTTTTACCGCCAAATAACATTAAAAAAAAAAAAATATTCAGGGTCCATAACCGTTAGACCTGCCTTTACAAAAATTTTAACAATTCTTCGTTTAATCAATACAAAAAAAAGGTTTTGTGAAAATCTGAATTACAATTTTTGTTTTTTTTTTGCCCCGTATCTTCGAAACGGTTTGACCTGCATATGCCAAAAACTAATCAGCACGTTTCCTTATCAATACGAATCAAATGTTTTTTTAAATTATTCAAATTTGAACTATATACGTGAAATTTAAAATTAAAAATCTTGGTACGGAACCTAAAAACATTACACAAAATGTGTACATATTATTAAAATCTCTATAAAATATTTGATAATTTGATGTACATATGTCCAATGAACATTTTTGACCGCCAAATGGCATTTTTTTAACTTATTTTTATTAAGAGTCTATAACCACTAGACCTGCCTTCCCAAAAATTTAATCAGTTTTTTATCTTGTCAATACAAGCAAAATGTTTTTAGAAATTTTTAAAATCGAACGCTCCGTTCTCTTAAAAACTGTGTTACCGTTTTTGGCACTTTTTGCCCCGGATATATAAAAATGTTCATCTTCGATTTTCTTGCGATTACTATAACTTGCCCTACGGGAAGTTAATAAATCATTACAATATTATATTTTGACCAATGTCATTCATGGCTACTATGATTGAGATAGAAATATAAAATAATAGGAAGTGAATTTTGTTCTGAACGATACGAAAGTTTAATCGAAATTTAATTACGCCACTCATGCCACCAATGCGAAATGCGATTCGAAGATGCATTACAGATTTCTTCATCACATTTACATGCAACCCTACGTGAGATGAATAAAAAAGCTTTTCCCAAATTCTGAAAAAATATGCCCACATACATTAAAATTTACATTTGTCTATAATTTTTACTTTTTGCGGATAAAATTGATTTTGTACAATTTCAATTTTATTCATCTAACAATTATTTATAGTTAAAATTATTATTTACAAGCAATAATGTTTCTATACTTGAAAAATATTATGTCAATTATTAGGCTGAATGCCGCTTCTTGTAATGTTATTGTAAGGTTTTAATGCTTTAATATTGTAATAATATTATAAATAAATATATGAATAGTATTATCCATTCAATTAGCACCTGAGCGAACTGAGCTACGACAGCAGCGCAGTCGTCCAGCGATACGTCCAGAATCCGTTACTAATCGGCGGCTACAAGTTCGACTTACGCCTATACGTATGCGTTCCGAGTTATAGGCCGCCGGTGGTTTATTTGTATCGCGAAGGTCTCGCTCGATTCAGTACAGACAAATTCACGCTAAACGATCTGGAAAATCCATTCAGGCATCTGACTAATTGCAGCATCAATAAACTAGGACCTAAATATGCCGAGTGGAAGGAAAGAGTTGGAATGGGTCAGTCAGTAAACACAGATTTTTTCATTGATTTCAAATAAGCGATTTATTTATTATACAATGTATTTTATTGATATCAAAAACAATATTTTTAATATTTTATTCTACAGTCCGATAATTTTGGCACATTTTAAAGAAAAGCATGTATACGTGTATTTCAGGAAATGTTGATTGTTTTGAAACTTCTAATAATAGTATTAAATAATAATAGTAGCTACTTTAATTTGAAAAGGAAACTAGCAGTGCTTGGCATCGTGTCTTAAGACAAATCGCTAGAACTTTTTGCACCGCAATTAAATATCAGAAGGAAAAAATATAATTATTAAATATTAAGCATTTAATAATATTTTTAAGAATATTTTTAGAGAGATAATTATATATACTATATTTTTTATTATTTATATAATCTACTTATCGCACAAAACATATATTTACATTAGAGCAGCAAACGGAGAGGAAAAAAGGATATAACCTCTGAATTTTTTTTACTGTGCTCCGAATTGCATGAAATTTGGGAATTAGGTTCATCTTACCCTCAAGTTCAAAAGTGAAAACAATTCGGGTTGCGCCATCACCTCCCGGGGGGGTTGCGACCCCTTAATTAATAAGTGGACATTGAGCCGTTTTATCGCTAGAAAACGTTTTAATATTTAAGAATATAATTGAAAAATGTTTTTTAATACATTTACCTTGCAGTAAAATCATTTTCAACCCCGTGAAAACACTAAAACCCTTCAAACAACCTCTTAATTGAAAAAAAAAACACTTAAAAATAAATTTCGGTATGATATAATAAGAATTACGTATAAATAAATAATATTTTATGTTTTCTATCTTGACTATCAAATTTTTAACCTTTTTCAGACCTTTAAAAACAGCCCCTTAATGAAAAATTGTTTGGAAAAATTATTTTGAAATTGATAGAAAATTAAGAAATTCAAAATGATATGAATGTTATTTCAATTTATCGAAAATAATTACCATATGCATAATTAGTTCAACTCTTAAAACTACCCTTGAATAAAAACAGTTAATATATTCAATTACAAATTGAAAAATTATTTAATCAAATCATAGTATGATAATTTATTTCAAACTAAAACAACAGTAGACACTCAATGTCGGAGTTGCTGTTATCATCACTATCTTCTTTTGGCTTTATTGGAGGGCTGTTTTGGCAGTTATCACCGCTACAAGTTTCACAAGCTGTATTGCAGAACAGACTATTCGGCATCCGCATGAGGCTCCGCAACCTTTTCTGCAGTTACAAAAAATCATTTTTAGTAATTCTTGTAGTGCTAGTGGATCTAAAATTTTGATTGGATTTAATAATCCTTTATTCATTACCCACCCCAATCAGTTGGGAGAATGTTTTTGTTGCCAAGCCATATCTGTGTTTGAAGGTAAACTCTTCTACTATGCTCATTTATGGCACCAACGGTTGGAACCAAAGAAGCTAATTTAACGGCAGTGTTGTTTGTGGAAGCTTTCATAAAACTTTCATAGCGCATCATTTCAAGATACTGCGATAAGTTGTCTAATCGACTTAACTTTTTTGATTGTATGTTTTTAGTTAGTTCATACAAACAAACCATGCAATATTTACCAGTTTGTAATACATCTTAGACTTCAGATGTACAATTCATAAATATCTGCGCTTGCATTCTCAAATCTTGTCTTTGTTCTAGGTGATCTGTGAATTTTTTTTTGCCTTCATTAAACGCAGCCGAAGTAGAGTACATCCAGTGAAATAATGTGCAAAACAACCAGTTTAGCATATTTTGGGTAGTTTATTCTTAGGTTTCTTGATGAGTATATGACTGTTTTCACATTTTGCTTCCCTAATTTTAAAAATAAAATTTCTTCATCATCATCAACGCGGGCAGTTAAAATCACCTTTCACCCATACGACACTTTACTATAGGAGTAAATCGTCAGCCAAAATTCTGTACTATGAAGATAGATACATTCCATGATTAACATAATAAAACGTGGTGCCCCCCCCACCCCGAGATATACACTAAAGCAATTAATTCGTACTATTTCAAAATATACGTTATTATTATAAATACACATAAGCATGTATATATATATATATATATCTTATACATAAAATATATCAACCTGAAGTTTGTTCAGAAAATTTTCTAGAATTTTTAGATTCATAGAAATATAGTTAGATTGTACAAATTAATGGAAAGGCATGGTTTGACATTAAAACAAATGAAGACTGTCATTTGCCAAACATTTCCATTCACTTATAGGCTAAGACAATATTAAAATATAATATATTTATGATTATCAATAAGAAAAATGTAATGACTACATTATTATTGCCGAAAAGCAGCTGAGATATGCCAAAAATTATAATAATATAAGATTTACAGTCAACATCTGATAGGTGATGCAGTCTGCGCATGCGTCTGTCAGTGATCGCAATCAAACTTAGCCTATAATTCACTTTGACTGATCATCATTTTTTAACTTTTAAATCCAGTCGTGTTTTGCCTTTCTTTACCAAATCACGATACAAAAATAAGTTACTTATTCAAACAATTATTTAGAAGTTTCATTGTGTCAAAAATTCATATGTTTGGCATTGGATACAAAATATTTACTCAAGACAATTTGGGTCTGAATATTTTTAATGTGCTCCAATTTGTATGAAATTTTGGAATTAGGTTCATCTTACTCTCAAGTTTAAAAGTAAAAATAAATTATAATTATTTGCCACTACCCGGGGGCATGACATCCCTTTTCAGTGGTGCAGTTGTATCTCTTTCAAACTAACGTCGGATATCGATAAAAGAACTAATTAGAAGAGAAAAATGTTTTATAATGTTTTTTCAAAAAAGAAATTACTTTTCAAGTTACTGGCTACTAAAAATTTGTTGTTTTTTGCGTTTTTCATCGTTTTTTGCAAATATTTTTAAAAATATACATTTAAACGAAAATCATGTAATGAACAAAATTATATTAATTAAAATCCTAATCACAATCTTAGGCTAGATATGGAAATGGGGTTTTATAGTACTCAAAATAAACTTTAAAATGAGTACTTCTGCGTGTAAAATGAGTGAGCTATCATGCAGATAAAAGACGCATACAATATTTTTTTCATTTAAAGCAAATAGTTTTTGAGTGCCATTTCCACCAAAATTAAAAATAATCGTATTCCCTCTAGAAACAACTAGGTTTAAGAGATTTTGACGGATTCTAGAAAATACCATAACTTTAGTGCAAACGATTTCCATAAAGCTAATGATTTCATGAAAAAAAAAACTATTTAAAAAATTAAAAGATAAGTATAAAGGTATATAAATGAAAGTTCAATGTCTTTTACAGACCAATTATTGCTTTTTATTATTTTTCTGTTACACAAATATTGATAGTGTCCAAACAGAGTGTCTTTTGAGTCCTTCAATCCTTTGCCATTTCAAAATAAGAGAAGTTACGGTAAAATTTATGATAGAGAAAGTTGTAGCTCATTTAATTACCTTTAAAATAGTGTATTGCAAGTACTGATAAAATCATAATTAAGAGTTATAATTCAATTAATCCGGTGGGTGGTAACGAAGTGCAAATTGTTTTCACTTCTAAACTTAAGATAAAGAATAGCCTATTTCCGACACACGCTTTTTACCTCTCCATTTACTGCAATAATTCTGTTGACCGTAGGTTGAGTAGAGCACATGTGAACAGGATTTGATAAATTAATTCACTTCAAATATAAATTTAAGTAATAATGTTTATTGATTTATTAGTGAGAAAAATGTAATTTAGATAATAAAATTACTAAAAGCCAGTTAAAATATGGTACGAATATATAAAAATTATAGACAACATCATTTAAGCCATTATTTTGGGTAGAAAAATCCAATGTGATATTGTACCTTTGCCGAGAATGCTATATATTAATTCTTTCTGAATTTGTTATACCCTTAAAATTTTAAAGTATTCAATTTTCAACACGTGTATCTTATGCTATGACCATAAATCACAAAGGCAGGCGATGAATTTTTTGTGTGATACATTTGGAAAATCAATGTTTTAGTCGTGAATAAACAAAAAATCATTTATTTATACATCCACATCTACAGGTATAACTGAAAAATTGTATAACCTTTGGCATTAAAATAAATTAAGCTATTGGAATTAAATTTGCAGTGTATAAATTTTAATATACAATTTTATTGAACATTTTTTAATATTTGTTAAATGGATAATTAAAGTGTTAACTGTGGAACTTGAGAATAATCATTTTATTTGAAACAGTTCTACGTTCAACATCACTCATATATTGGTGTAAATAGAAATTCAAAAACCAATAATGATTATTTTTAACTGAACGGTATAAATATCAGTATAGTATATTAAAAAAACGTAGATGTGGGTACAGGACAACGTCTGTCGGGTCATCTAGTATATATATATATAAGTCAATAGTTTTGGGCACCAAATACTGCTTACTTATACATTGCTCGAAATATGGACACAATTTGACAAAAATGATATTAGTTTTCGGGCCATAACTTCTTCAATTTCAACCCCATCACAATTTGTAATATATCATTTGAAAGGTTAATAAAACGGCTACAACTCTTTTCATCATAATTTTTTTTGTAACTCCTCTCATTTTGAAACGGCGAACGGTTAAAGGGCTCGAGATAGACTCTAATTGCGTAACCGCGCACCCTTTAAACAATCATTTCTCTGTCAATTTTTGTAATAATAAGCCAAGAAGATACTTCTATACGTATCTTCTATTTTTTTGAGGTATAATGAAAATAAGCTCGATTTAAAAAAAAAACGGAAAAAACAGTTTTTATAAAATCGTGTGTTTTCTGAAAATAGTTTGTACTAAAATAGTGAATCTGCTAGAATCTATCAAAAGGTCTATAACGAAGTGAATTTTAGGTGAAATGTGAATTACTATAAGTCTGGTGAAAACGGCGCCCATTAAACCACATGATTTAGAAAAAAAAAGTCGTATCTGCTTCTTATTTGCATGATAGCTCACTCATTTTACACGCAAAAAACTTGTAACAGCACTCACTCAAGCTTATGTTGAGCACTATAAAATCTAGTTTTACCGAAATGCATAAAATGTAAAATCTCGCCACTAGATGGCTTTAAATACAACAATTAAATCTTGAATGAAATAAAAAAACGACTTTGCTCTTCCAAATATCGCTTAATATTGTTTCTAGGACACTTTATCTAATACCGATTTATTTAGATTTTTATTGACATCATTTTGTTCATTACACGATTTTTGTTTAAATGTATATTTTGGGATATATTTGCAAAAAGACGAAAAAAACGCCAAAAATATATGAATCTTTAGTGACCAGTAACTTAAAAAGTAATAGTTTTTTTAAAAAACTATAAAAGACATTTTTTCTTATAATTAGTTCTTCTATCGATTAGTTATTTTGAAAAAATGTAATTACACAATTGTGAAGGGTTGTCATCTCCCCGGAGGATAATGGCGCAACCCGAATTGTTTTTACTTTCGAACTTGAGGGTAAGATGAACCTAATTCCAAAATGTCATTCAATTTGGAGCACAGTAAAAAAATTCAGACCCTAAACGCTCCATTTACTGCACTACATTTACAAGAGAAACTTTCAAAAAAAAAGAGATTTTTACAAAAAATATTCAAAATTTTGAAACTGCTAGACTAACCTTTACAATTCCAGAACCAAGTTTTTTGAATTATTCTGAATTATTCGCTCTGTACGTTCGTAACGACTAAACTATAACCTGTTTTCGCGTAAACCGAATATTTGTTGTGTCATTTTGGTCAGTTGATTTACGTTGTGGAAAATATAAAAGACATTAATTTGAACTTGAACAAGTGCGCGTAGGGGATCCACGCGATTGAAGTAAAACTTATTTGCTACTGTACAAAGTAGCAAATTTAAGTTAAGTAAAAATAAAAACATCATATAACAATTTTGAATAATGTTTATTAGTAATATGGTAACACTCGTGATGCACACATTTATTAGTGTCGACAATCATTATACACATTTAATTAATGATAAATTATAAATTATATATTTATGATTGCATTAAAAATACGTATAATATTTACAAACAGTAAAGTAATCAAAGTCATACTTGAAATATGACATGATAGAATTAAAGTAATTGCTGTTTAATAAATTCTATAACATTCGTTCACACAGTGGATTATGTTAAACAACGCCTAAACAAATATTGTTTTCGTAACTTCACTCATCGTGTAATAATTGTGTTTGAAGAACTTCATGTAATTAAAATTAACATACATTCATTTACTATTTGTATTTTTTTACTTTTTCGCTGATATAATCTCATTCTTAGAACAGCTGTAATATCTGTCTTGCTTAAAAAATTGAAGCCATACTTTTATATTTGTTTTATTTATCAAGCACACATAGCTTGATCTATGAATCATTTTCTTTTTATGTGAACGTTAATGCAATGATCATCATCAATATTACGAGGTAATCAATTAACCATCATTAACGTCAACAGGCACATTTATAATTTGGCCAAATATTTCAAATTGTCCATTTGCATATCGCAATCGTCTAATTTGCATGGAACACAACCTAGGTAAAATTAACCTTTCAGATACAGTATCTAGTTTAGGTAGATAATTTGGTATAGGTGGAAATACAAACCCGTTAAATTTACACAAAGTGGGAATTTTACCCGAATTTAATGCCTTTCGACAAGTTTGATATCCAACCTGATTGTTTGAAAATTAAGAAAACCATTGTTAAGAATTTGTTTTGGAGCATCATTTGATATTTTTAAGTCACTTTGAAACCAAAGTCTATCACACACAAAGCATACATAGCCAAAGCTATCATTTGTAAATTGTTTTTCAAACAATTTTCGTGCATTCCTAAACAAATGGAAGTCTTCATATGGAAGTTCAAATACTTTATTTGACTCTTGCAAAAGATCAGTTTTTTTCACATTATTAATCACATTATATACAGAATCATCAATTTGCAGTTGACGTGATGTAGTTGCTGTATTAGAAAAAGTAACAGCAGTACTTTCATCTAAAAAGATAACAGAATAATATGTTTAAATGTGAATAGTTGTAGCGTTTTTCAGGAGTCAAATAACATGAAAAGATTCTTACTTATGTCATTGGTGTTGACATTAACATCTAAATTGATACCTCTGGCTCAAGATTTTCTAATAAATTGGCAGTAACCGATTATTTTCCTCCAGTTCTTTTGTTTGACGATGTAATCTTGATCTTTCAGAGTAAGAGGCTTTGAACCTGCCTCAATATTTATAATTACTATTATAATAAATTAAAATTATTCTTCATAGCCATCATAAAAGAGAAATATGTAAACTTACGTTAAATTTCCAATAAAGAAATATTGTTTCCACAATTTCACTACTCATGTAATTGAGTTTGTAGAACTTCATTATTGCCTGCTTGTTTGTTTTGACTATTTCGCTGGTGATACATTTTCATTCTTTGAGCAACTGTAGTATCTGTCTTTTTTAAAAATATTTTCCATTTTAGTAATAACCTCAAAGGTATATAGTAACCTCGAAAAACTCGAATAATACAAATTACTTCAATAAACTTACACTTCTTACGCAGCGCAGATTTTTTATATGTCATTATTTGCGATAATTTGCACTACAAATATTTATGAGGGACAGGATAACATATTTTTCCGATCCTGACATTTTTATTAACTCACGATTTAATTCTATTTAACCTTAAAAAGTTTTGACGTAACACCGGAAATGTAAACAATATGCTTCAAGCTTTCGGTGACGTATGATGGGCGTATGCACGTATAAAGTACGCTTTCGGTGACGCACGTACGTATAAAGTCACGCATCAGAATCGACCCGTATAGAAATCATATAATCGAGAGCAAATGACTCTCACTTCAGCTTGGCGTAACAATTTCCGTTGCATTTGTACGGATTTACACCCATGTCGCGCCTAAAGAAGTTTTACTTCAAAAAATATAAAAAATTACTTATTTGATGTGCTTATAATTTTTTATATATATAATATTTATCTGATGTGCATATAAAATGTGTATTTTCATTTTTTCGGATCACTTTATCAATACAAGTAAAATATTTTTTGAATCAATTAAATCGGACTTTACGGGAAGTTAATAATATTATGATTATTATGCATCCAAATGAATAATTTAATTATGTTGAATGTTTAATTTTTTAGGATGTAAATGGACTTTGCGCCAATTGCGTATGTATCTAAGCCAGAATGGAATACGGGACTGGTTGTTATGGCAACGTATATCGTGTTTAGTGGCTCTTACAATTCTAGCCCAGGCTGCAGCCGTACCTCAATGTTCAAACTGTTTTGAATTTTTTGGATTTGATGTACTTGTAGACGAAGAATTACGCCCTTGGCTTTTGGAGGTCAATATTTCACCAGGTTTAGGAAACGACTGTGATGTAGACAGTACAGTCAAAAAACCGTTGCTGCACGAAATGTTTGATTTGCTTGGTTTGCCGGTTTGTCCAACTGGGCTTCAAGCACTTTTTCAAGGGGCGCAATACAACCAAAGCCAAGAGTAAGTTCTATATATATATATATATATATATATAATATACATATATATATATATATATATATATAATATACATATATATATATATAATATATATATATATATATATAATATAAAGCGAGAGGTTTTTCTTCAGATGGTGAAATAACATAATAAAATTGTTGCTTGGGCATCCATCCAGTGATTAAAAACAGTTTTATTGAAAAAAAAAATGTTTTTATTCAGAGAACATACGTTTCGGGTCTTGATTTGACCCATCTTCAGTGCTACAATTAAATATTTCAGACTTAGAATTTAAAAACAATATAAGAAAATACATAATTAAATAAAAATATAAAAACATGTAAAAAGCATAAATCTAACCTATTTAATGAATTTATTTTATAACTAATATATATTGTGAAAATATATACAAATGAAAAACAACATAGAATAAACAAATGTAAAGAAACTCACCATACAAACAAATTTGAAAATAAAACTAAAAACACACGAAAATGCACAAAAAAAATTATGAAACAACAATTTGATAAAACGTCGAGTCATGATAAATTTTAATTAATCGTACAAATTAAAATAAAAATAAAAATAAATAATATATTGTATTATAAAAAAAGCTTATTCCAAACGCAAATGTTGTCCGCTTGGAGTTTGTGTAACGTGTAAAATGTGTGCGTACGTGTTTGCGGAAACAAAATTATTTTATCTATGTTTCACTGCGCATGATGGCTGAGAAAATCTTCGTAATATGAAACCACTAAAATTCTCTCTATCCCGTTCTCTCATCAAATGACGATACAGTTTCCACAAGTTTCCGCAAACACGTACGCACACATTTTACACGTTACACAAACTCCAAGAAACAATTTTATTGTCCAAGAAATAATTTTATCTTATAATGTATATATATATATATATATATATTATTGTCTATATTCTATATTTAATTATTTGTCAGGAATCTATAAATTAAAACAACACGGTGCAGTACTCTTCATAAGCTTTATTCTTTATCTCGCAAGTTCGTCTCTACCATACACTCTGTTCAACTCTCTGTTTCCGACTCGCATACATTCACTCTGCTCGTACAGTCAATATAGCCAACTGCACACACAACTCAAGTCTTACCAACCAACCGCACGGACTGCCATGATCCGCGCCATATTCAAACATCCATTCAAACATTCACATAATATATTTCGCTAACAGTTCGGCCAAACCTGACCCCACAATCGCCCTCGATTGACTAACAAAAATCTAATTAGCGAAATATACAAATTCACATCATAATACATTATTTTACAAGTTAATACCACATTACAACATATAATATTTCATTTATTCATTATTGTCCTTACTGTCTTTAATTCACTTATTGTCCTTACGCACTCATTCTGCGCTATTCACTTTCACAAATTGTCATTATTCACTCCAACGCTTCATGCGTGTGGGGTCCACAACCCCCGTAAATGGCACATGTGCCAACTGAAACCCTTCCAGATCAGTCACAACATACCGATCATGATCCAAAACCGCCTCCACACGGTATAGTCCCTTGAATTTTGGCACCAATTTCTTATTAACGCCAATAGTAGTGTCAACATTCTCAATCATTACCTTGTCAGCGACACTGTATTTATTAGCCTCCTTCCGCTTTTTGTCATAGTATGACTTAGAAGCCTGTTGCATATCCTCTATCCGACGGGCTGCTTGTTCTCTCAGGAAGATTACCCCTCTCATGATGTTGCTGCAAATAATCCACCATCTTATCTTCAACTCGTCGTCTCTGCCTTACTCCAAACATCAGCATACTGGGGCTCTCCCCTGTTGTCTTGTTGGTAGCATTGTTCATAGCAAACTTGACATCTGTCAGAACCATGTCCCAGTTCTCTATCCCTTCAGTCATCTTTGCCAACATTGGAGTAAGCGTTCTATTGCATCGCTCTACCTGTCCATTTGCCCTGGGTGCTTCTGTAGCAATCAATATTAACTTGACTCCGTATTCCAAAAGAAAGTTCCGGAAAGCTTCTGACGTAAAACAATTGCCTCTATCGGCAATGATGCTATTTGGTACACTGTAGTTGCTGAAATATGTCTCCATATGTTTAATAACAATCTTGCTTGATGTGCTTTGGCAAGCAAACAACTTCACAAACTTCGAAAACCCATCAGTCATCAGGAATACATATTTCTTCTTCCGCTTGATTACTGTCAATAGCCCATAATGATAAATATGGATCACCAGAAATGGCTTATCCCCTTTTGGGATATTATGCAAATAGCCTTCATGTCTTCCAGACTTTGGTGAATATGTGATATATTTCAAACAATTCTCAATAAAATTCCTTACCCTGGCTGCCATTCCACTGAACCAGTAACTAGTCTTTAACCCATCCTTTGTACGCTCCCTTCCAGCATGCCCTAACTGCTCATGCTCAATCCTAATTACATTATCCACCATTTGCTGTGGTACCCAAAATAAAAGGTCATCTCCTTGTTTTCGATATACAAGGCCATCTCTCAATTTATAAAACTTACTCTCCTTTACCTCTAGCTCACACCTTATGGCTTTTATCTCCTCGTCTTGGTCTTGCTTCAGAGCCAACACTCGCTCAAATGAATTCTCTTCCACCACCAACAATTCGTGACATCGACTGAGCGCATCGACATGTTGCATCCTAGCTGCAACACGATGTTCCAACTCATAGTCATAATTCTGCAAAATTAAAAACCATCTTAATAATTTAGGGTTTACCTCCTTTTTCTGCAATGCCAGCTTCAAGCTGTTACAGTCCGTGAGACATGGAATTTCTGTACAGCATAAACTATCGCCAGCATTTCAAGCTCAAAGCTATGAAGTTTGGACTCCGCTGAGGATGCTCTCTTGCTATAATAACAAGTGGGGTGCCAAGCCCCATCCTTCTGTTTCTGTAGCAAAACCGCTCCATAGCCTTGACTGCTTCCATCCGTATGCAACTCGATTGGTGCTGACGGTGAATATATAGCCAGTACAGAACGCTTCACCAACTCCTGCTTCACCGACTCAATGGCTGCAACCGCTTCCTCGTTTAATTGAAACGACTCGCCTTCCTTGCACAAATCATATAGAGGCTTACACCTAATACTAAAATTTCTTATGAACTTCCTAAAATAACTTATTAGTCCTAAAAATGATCTTAACTGTCTAAATGTCTTTGGCACTGGATAATTTACCACTGCACTAACGTTAGTGTCACTAGGTCTAATACCATCCTTATCCACATAATACCCTAAATAAACCATATGCCTATACACAAAACTACACTTCTGAATCTTCAACCTTAATCTATTCACACTCAATGTCTTTAGCACTCTCTGCAAAATATTCAAATGTTCATCTATAGTCTCCGTGGCAATCAACAGATCGTCCATATACACAATTATTTTACCACACCCGATGAATTCTCGCAACACCTCACTGATATATCTCACAAATACACTTGGGCTGTTGCAAAACCCAAACGGCATTCGGATACACTCAAATTGTCCTTGTGCACACACGAAACTGGTGTACTTTCTGCTGTTTTCCTTTATTATGATATGGTGGAACGCATCCTTCAAATCAAGTTTAGTGAAAAACTGCTTACCTTTTAATGCATCTAAGCAGTCGTCTATCCTACGGCTAGGATAGGGGTCTTTCACCACTCTCTTATTGAGCTCTCTGTAATCAATACACAGTCTAACGCTCCCATCTCGTTTTCGTACAATAACTATGGGTGAACAATACTCCGAAGTGCTCATCTGTATTATGCCCCGAATAAGCCAATCCTCGATTATTTTACCCACCTGTGTTCTCTCATAATACGATACTCTCCGTGGCCTCACATGAAATGGTGTAGCGCCAGCTTTCAAATTTATGGTCATTTTCATTTTCACAGCCGGTTCAGAAGGCAGCGGGACTTTTAAATATTCTTGTCTAATAACCTCTCTAATCCTTCGCTGAGACTCCACTTCTAAACCGTCTCCTACATCAATCTCGACCTCCTTAACACTATATTTATTACTTATATCTATCATCAATATACTATCACTCTTTTTCCGCTCAATAGTCACTCTTTTCCCTATATTAACATTTAAGTCTTCATGATTTATCATGTCACGACCAAGTAAGCACACCGATGTCATTGTTCCTCTAGGCACCACATAAAATTTTAAGACTACGGACACTCCAAAAGCACAAAAAGTCACAAGCCGTTCTATTGTTCCCAACACTTTCATCTTCGAACCGTTAATTCCTTCAAAACGGCCGTTACTCGTGTCTGACAGTTGTGTCCCGGTTGGCAACACTTCTTCAGACAGCATAGATATTGGCGATCCCGTATCCACTACGCCGTCCATCTGCGTACCGCCCTCTGTGGAGACGTTCATCGTATATGCAGGCACTAGATTAATTAACATCGTCGTTGTACTGTCGGGGGCCGGTTGCGCAGGCTGCGCCGATTGCGCCCCTTTATTGTTATTTCGCCAACAATCCTTCTGCGCATGGCCTAGCTTCCCGCACATATAGCATGTTCTTCTCCCGTCATTTTTGGGCTTAAGGCACCTTGAAGCTAAATACCCCATACCTCCACAACTAAAACATTTGATACCTCCGCTGTGCGGTTCTATTCTTGGGAGCCTTGTCGGCTGTACTTTCTTCGGCGGCACCAAACTAACGCCCCGTTCTGTCGACGTTAATTCATTCATTACACTTGAAAGTGTACTTAAATCTTGAAAACGGTTCATTTTTGCTTGGGCCTGAAGCGTCGCATTGTCGAACCCATCAATCATGTATGCCAACAGATTGTCCTCCGAAATCCCTGCTCGGTTGCCCAGCGCCATTTTCTTTTGGAAGTAGGAGCTAGAGGGTTCCTGCCTCCGCCATCTCCTGGCCTCGAACCGTCTCATCCTCGTCATGCGATCTTCGCTGTTTCTGAAGAATGCTGTCATCGCCCTCTTAATTTCGTCGTAGGTATAAGTGGCGTATTC